TTTAGTTTGTTTCTTTAAGAAATAAATTAATGGTCATCTTTCAACGTTTAATAAAATAATTTGTGCCGTTCACCTTGTGTGACAACATTTCAACCTCTCAAAAGGGAATAATTAAATTAAACTCTTTATTTCTGTTGTGGAAACAAGATTATAAAATTAATTGTTCACAATTTTTTATTTGTGGAGATTAGAGTCGACAGAAAAGGTAGACGCTGCTAATACTTAAGATCCGCTCTAAAACGGATCACATTCTGAATATACCTGAATGTGAATTAAAAGGTTTTTGCACTACTGCAGCATAATCGATTAACTGGAGTATACAAACTCAGAAAAAGGCTAATCAGTGGAAAAATACCATTGTTTGGACTGGTCAAAGTTTCGACTTTACATCCAGAAAGTGCATTCTTGTTGGTTGTGCAGGAAGCACCACTTCTGCTTTTCAAAGATGTATGGTTGTATAATTGCGCCTCTGTTTGCAGCNATTTTCACCTTCGAGTGTAAATGTTGAGTAGCAGCTTGTTTGGATTTAAAGTGACAAGACGCCATAAAACAAAACTAAAATCTCATTGTCTAAGAATGCAAAAAAATGTGATGTTTGGTTTCCCCCATCTTAAAATGTTAAAGGAAGCCTAAAAGGTCAGCTTTAAAGAAAAAAACAACAGATGTTAATCAGGCTTTTCCTCTGTTAAACTGAGTTTTAAAGCATGCACCTCGAACGGAGAGCTGCAGGTTTAATTGTTTCAAACTGAGGTGAGAAGAAGTTCCTGACAAACTCTTTGCTTCCTGATGTTCAGCTGTCAGAAAGAGGCGCCGAGCCGTCAGTCACAGAGAAACATCCACAAACTCACCGACTCTGATCGACAACATGGAAAACTATCAGCCTGTGGCTTCATTACCACAAACCTGCAGAGGATGAGACGGAAATTAAAGGCCGGTCGCTACAGGATAAATTAAAACAAGCTCAATAATGTCCATTAATTTATTGTTTTTATCTTTTTTACCAGAAACTGGACAGTAAAAGTCTTAAATCTGGTGTTTTAGTCTCAACTAGATGTTGTTTTTCTTTTGAAGGACAATTTCATTGTCTTCATAATTTATTTGTTGTTTCTGTTGTTTTATTTTTGATATTTAAATGTCTTCCAGTCTTGGTGTTATATGTTTGTTAGGATTTAAATGTATTGATTTTTGAGAATGTTACTGTTGATAATGGTCTCAAAACAACAATATTATTGTTTATTGCAGTAACTTCTGGGACATTTTATCGTCTTACTGTGAGAAGCTCAGGCTGAAGTCAGTCAGAAACTGAGCAGATTTTGAGAATATTTTGTGATATTTTTACTCTCACCAGGACAGACATGTTGGTTTAAATTCAGCGCTCGCTTTGTTTTCCAGCTCTCTCAATGTTTCAAAATGTTGCTGGATCTTATCGGCCTGTCTGAGCCGCTGTCATTACCAGCAGCTGAAAATGAACCGTGAATGTTTTCCCGAAGGCTCCCACTTGACAAAGCTCTCAATTGGCTTTAACAAGCTGTGCTGGCTGACCTAATACGAGCAGACAAAAGGCCAGGGGACAAAAAGAAAAAGTCCAAACTGAGTCTGTGCCCGTGTGTTTCTGCCCTGCAGTGCAGTATGTACTAAATTAAAGTTTGTAATTCTCTGTAGTGGCGTTCTGTTGCAGTATCTCGGTCTGCCAGGCCTGTCTGTAATTTCGTGTCTTTGTTTTGGGTTTGTGTGCGTCGCTGCAGACTGCTCGGTGTGCTCTGCTGCTGCTTGGACTCCTTCCTGCTGCTGGAGAGCCAGTACAACATCTGCTGCTCGCTGCTGCAGAGTCAGAGGGAAAACGTCGCTGACCAAGACGCCACAGACGGGTACGAAGCCAGAAACGCAGAGTTAGACGAAAACTCGGTTCACACAGAGCCGGGTCGGTTCATGTCGGTCGTTTAAATTCTGATTTATTTGCAAATGAGGCTTGAAAATCAAATCAAATTTTTTTAGACTCACTATAAGAGTTTTATTACAATAATACAATCATAATATTAGCAGAATAAAGATGCAGTTTTACCTGAAAAAGCATCTTTGAAGGGGCAGTATTATGTATTTTTCAGGCACACAGAATCATTTTGTAGCACAACTATCAAATATGACTTAACAGAAATTAGACTTAACGCCTGGAAATTGGGCCTCTGTCTCTTTAAGAAACTTCTGCTCTTTCTGAAACTCCACCTTCAGCAAGTCATCACAACCTGTTTTAACCTTTATCAATGTTTTTACCAGCGTTTCACTGAGCAGTAGCTCCTATAATCTCAGCTGATCTGCAGTTTCACCAGGTGTTTGCTAATTGCTGCTGGCTAGTCTGAAGGAGCCAAGCTGAGTTTGCCGCTATATTTTGTAATGTTTGTGGTGTGGACCCAGGAATAACAGTCTCTAATATGGTACATAAACAAGTAAAAAATGTATTTAGGGGCTTTTCAGACCAAAAATATTGGTAAAAATTAAAAATCTATTTTATTACAATGTTTTTTTTCTTTCTTTATGCACAAATCGATTTAAATTACGTAATTAAACACCAAAGTTAATAAAATATTAGTGCTACCCTTTAAAACAATGACGATACAATATTTAATTTCTAAAAGTTTGACTCCAAAGTTTTCTTGCTTCAACTGCTCGTTGAAATCTGGACATTTGTTGCATTGAAAACATCAAACTGACTTTCGGCTTTTCTAAAAGCCAACAATCAGAAATTTCAGTAAATTAGGCCCATTTTTATTCTCTTTGTGCATCATCTTGATTTGACAGAAAACTTTCACATCTAATAAAAAAATGCATGCTTCAGATGTCAGAATAATAAATAAAATGGAAGGAAGGATAAATAAAAGACCATTTCCCAGAGTGCTTCTCTGAGTTCGTCTAATGGAGACGCTGCTTTTGCTGCTGGTTACAAATGGAGACAGCCCTGAAGAGCCGCTCACGTCAGGTTTGAAAACTCGCTCAGCTTCACAGAATGACGGCCCGCTCATTTCCTCCTCTTTTTTATTTATTTTGAACTTTTTCTGTAATGGTTGGCATCAGCTTTTCTGTTTATTCTGTTTGTGTTTTCAGCTCAGTGTCATCCTGACTTTGTGTTTTGGTGTTTAACCTTTGAGTTAACCCATTTCCCTCCACATCCGCTCGTTTTGTCTCTGACCTTTTTAACATCGATGACACCAGAACTCACATCTAAGACATATTTTTACCAATAAAGCATAAGCATGCAACATTTTGGAGCAATCTGGCCTTTGGAGAGAGAAATGTAAAACAAAATAGTCTTTTAGATTAGTTTCTGGAGTCCAAATTGCTCCAGCTATAAGAACTATCCACACAGAATGATGTTTTTCAGCCCTTATAATTGGAAATGTTCTGACTTCAGCTGAGATTTAAACAGCCTGCCCTTTTGTTTTCAAACTGATATGGTTGCAGAAATTTCGTGGCTTCAGAAAGGCATTGCCAATAAAATGGAGGACAGGAATGAGTGGAAAGTTTTCATCGTGTTGATTTTGTCATCTATAAATACTGCTGTGTTTTTTAAGGGGATCTTTTATCAAAGATTCACATTTTCCATAGTTTGTTCTTCCATTTGGGTCTCAGCTGCTTCTAAAAACAGACCAAGTGCTTAAAAAAAACACCCAGATGTTTTTTGGCAGTAAGTTAAAGATCCGTTTCAAAAACCTTCCGAATGTAACAACACAAATCAGCAGGCAATGCCCCTCGCCTAGCAACCCCAGCAAAGCCCCAGGGCATTACCTAGCAACCACAGTGGAACTCCCCTTGTTACCTAGCAACCTAAGCTGAGCTCCAGCACATTTGGTCAGCTGGTTTTACCGCTGTACAATGGCTGCTGGAAAAGACAAGTGCTTTATTGTTGACTTAATGTTCAGAAACCACTTTCAGCATTCTTGTTGCTTGTGCAGGAGGCGGTACGTCTGCTTTTCAAAGATGTATGGTTGAATAATTGCATGTCTGTTTGCAGCCATTTTCATGTCTGAACGTAAACATTGAGCTGCGGGGCCAGCAACAGCTTGTTTAAGTAGTTATCTGCAGACATTTTGTTGTTGAGTGAGTGTTGTTATTCTGAAACATTGAATTTGTTTGCTTCTCTCTCTCTGCCTCTCAGGGCGATCATCATCGACGGCCTGTCAGTGGAGAGGAATCACATCTTGGTTCGTGTTCATGTGGTCGGAGGTCCGTCTGAGAGGCGGCTTCCCTCTCGAGCCCTGGAAGAGGTCAGCTTCCTGCATTTGGCCTGATTTCCAACGTTTGATTTTACATTTTTCCCATTTTATAAATGAAATGATCTTCCAGGTTTTCAACAATATTAGGAAATTATGTAAAACAAGCTGGAAAGTTCCTGGTTAGTTTTGTCATATCTACTGAGAGATTTGTACTAGAAACTGGGCCAAAATACTTGGTAATATTTTCTGTTTTTGCAGTGCACCGTTTTCCTCTGCGAAGTCTGCATTCAAGGTTTAATAGCGCAACGATTATTGATTATTTTAGCTATCGATTATTCTGTCAGTTATTCTGATGCTTTTGGCCCTGATGTTTTTAAAAACACTGAGAGAAGTTTCTGAAGGCCGTTGGTACATAAACTGTGAAAGCTTTCCGGTGAACAGGAGACCTTTTCCTTCCTCTTAATCCTTCCTTTCATTAATAATGATCAACAAAAGTGTTTCGTTTTTGATTCTCACATTGGAAGCATTATTAACCTTTCTCCGTGTTTCCGTCCTGCCCTTGTGCTGCTGCTGGTGCGAATGAAAAGAGCGAACTGATAACCAGGCGGCGCCGTCGTCCTTTGAAGCACGCAGCCTTATTTATTCAGCATGCTCCGGGATTGATATCAATTATTTAGGTGTTGTTTATGCTGAGCCCAAACAGGAACTCATTTATGCTGAGGTCAAGGAAATTATATATATATTTAAATTATTTCCAAAGGAGAGAGTGGAAATTAGTTTAGAGACTAAGTTTGTCTGCTTAAAACCAAATGAGAAAAATCCATCCGTGATGCACAAGAAGACAAAAACTATACATGTGTTCATGTATGTGCAACTAATGATTAATTGAGGAATCAATTAGTCCCAACGATTAATTGATTAATCGTTGATTCTTCTGCCGATTATTTAACAAGTTGAGCATTTTTTACACAATATTAGAAATAAATTAAAAGATGCAAATGGGCAAACGATTCAGTTACTTTTAGTTAATACAAAAATAAAAACATGATTGCCTGAAATGCAATAACGGTGTTCCTTTGGTGTACGCTTGATTATTTGTGGCAAAGGATTCAACGCTAGCTAAGAAACACTGCCCGCTAATCTGTTTATTTGTTGGATTGATTATTGGACAAAGTGCTTAATATATATTTTTGTATGAAATTTGAATCAGCTGGAGCTAAAAACGTCACTTGAGTTTTGGGTAGAGAAGATTTCCAAACTAATAAGCTTTTTAAATGCTAAATTTTTATTTTTTTTTGTAGTTTTGAAATTATTACTTTCCGACTGTTTTGTTCTTTCAGCAAATTATCTTTTTATCGAGCCTGTGTACTCCAGCTGACGGTTAATCTATTACTAAATTAGTAATCGATTAATCACAATTAATTTGACTAATCATTTCAGCCTTTATTGTTGACAAAATGTACCAGTGGAATCAGAACATTTTTATCAATATTCAAGAATTATTGACATAAAACAAGCAACTATTTCTTGATGAAAAGTTTTTTCTAAGTTAGTTTTGTCTTCTTTCAAGAGTAAAAAATGGAAAACTAGACAGGAATACTGAATTTTGTGTTTTTTGCAGCATGTTGAACCACAAATCAAACGAAATGTCTGATTTTCATTGGATAATTTTCAGCAAATTTATATTTAAGATATTTCTTGTCCCTTTCAAGTTATTCCAGTGACCATTATGGGCTTTTATTAACAGAGGAATGCCAATAATTTTGTCCACATCTGCACAGACACAAACAGAAGCTTGAAATAAGAGTTACTTCAGACACAAAGCCTCACCAAGTCTGCAGTTCAGATCATTACTAGCCCTAAAGCAACAGCGGCTTCCTGAAAAACAAACTTTCTCAAACGATTTCGTCATCTGACAGGAAAACGAATGAACTGACTTTCTGAACCTCATTAACATCAGGAGCATATTGTGTTGGTAAGTCACCCACTGAGCTCCGTCAAAAACAAAACATAACTTCTGCAATGAATGAGAAATGATGAAAAGTATTAAAAAGTCAACATTTTTTCTCACTTACCAGATGTCAGCACAAACGAAAAGCCTCAGCAAGAGAGAAATTTAAAACCTGGGAAGCTATTGTCTGATATTAAACAGGCTTTGACCAGAAAAAGTTTTTTTAATCAGAATAAAGAAAGACCTTATGTCCTGGTGGGCAGAAGGTGAAATATTTAAACCATTTTAATATATTTGTGACATTAGAAATGTGTATTTTTCTCTTCCTTTGGTGCAGGGAGAACTTCCTTACTCCTGGCCGATGTTTCTAAGCTATCCTCCTCCGTCCTGCTATGTTCCAGCCTTACAGGTCAAAAACGACACGCAAGGTAAGAGAAACGTCATCAGTTTCTGCAATTAAAAGTTTTTAAATGACTTTAAGGGTTTTACTTCTGTTTTTCTTGGATTTAATCATAATTTTGCATACTTTTATCTGTGTGCAGAATGTGAGATCAGTGCGTTTCTGGCTTCATCCAAAGAACCAAGAGGTGAGGAGAGTTGGTTGGAGATCTGCAGAAGACATTTCTGCAAAGCCATGAAATCAAAGCCCAACACTTTAACTGGGAAAGGTGAGTTACTGGGTTGATTCAGTAGTTTCTAACATGGCGTTTAATTTTAGGGAAAATAATTAAGCTTGTTTTTGTCTAGTTTCTAGTACAAATAAATTAATTCACTCCACCCTTGTTTTATTGGAGCTTGTTTTAGGTAAATAATTCCTTAATATTCATGAATTAGTGGAATTAGTACTTTTTCATCAGGATTAAGGGATTATTGGCTTAAAACAAGCTCTTATTTCTTATATATCCATTTGAGCTTCTACTGCTTATAAAAACAGCCCAACTACTGAAAAAGGGACATCCAGGTGTTTTTTGTCTCTAGAAAACATTTCAAAATCCTCCTGATTAAGTCACACTGCCCTGTTGGTGAACAACCCAAGCTGAGCTCCAGCTGTACAATGGCTGCTGGAAAAGACAAGTGTTTTGTTGTTGACTTACCGTCCAGAAACAACTTGCTACATCCTTGTTGGTTGTGTAGGGACTATTATTGTTACAGGTTAGTTTTCTAAACTACAGAAAGGTAATCGTTGGAAATTTCACTTACTAAAATATTTGTTTACAAAAACCTTAAAGTTAATGTTTTATGAGCCATTTCAAAAGTCTCCTGATTCGTAAGTCACATTCCAAAGGCTGCACTGTTACCTAGCAACCCAAGCTGAGCTCCAGCACATTTGGTCAGCTGGTTTTACCGCTGTATGTGCTGTTCGAAGTGGTTTCTTGTTAACTTGCCATCCAGGAACCACTTGCTGCATTATTGTTAGTTGTGCAGGAGGTTCTACTAATGCTTTTCAAAGATGTACGGTTGTATAATTCTGTTTAGCCATTTTCACGTGAGAGTGTAAACGTTGAGTTGTGGACGTGACCAGCAGCAGCTTATTTGAATTTAAGTGACAACCGGTTCATTCTCTAAAGATTAAAATGTAATAAATATATTCTGCCTGCAGATCTTTGCTGGCCTGTTTAAGGAAACACAATAGGTCACTAAGTTAAATAAATCCTTATTTTTTATCGTTATGCCTGTTATACGTGACCTGCTGATGGTTTTTATTTTAAAGCGTTTGTGGCTTTCTCTCTCTCGCTCGCTCTGTCTTCTCAAACGTTACAGAAGCGCCGCGTTCGTCTTTAATAACTCATCATCGCTGTCATTGACTGACGCTTTTTAAATTGCACCTACGCTTACTTTCCTCATATAGGAGTAAATGGCTGTGATTGACGAAAGACAAAAATACATTCAGATGAAGCATCAGGAGAACCTGATTACTCCCTTTCATCAGAACACGGTGGAAATTGCCTACGAAATCATCCACTGTGGGGCTCATTTGAGGCTTTTCAGAGGAAAAAAATAAATTATGATGATGATTTATTATCTTTTAAGCTTCCTTCAGCTGTAGAGAGGAGGTTTTGTCTGACTTGTCAATAACCACACAAAACCTGACACTTTCTTTTCAAGAAACGCCCAAGAAAGGGAAATTGTTACATTTAGCGTTTCAGCGAAATACCTTAAAGAATATACTTTTAAAATATAATTTCTTCCTGTTTTTTTTTTCTTTTGGGAGACAAAAATGACTCCCTCACTATAGCATCTTTCATCAAAACTGCTTTATCCATTTCATGCTCAGCAGCTCTCTCTCTTGTCAGCTTATTGATTTCTTAATTGGTCTCCTGCAGCAGCGTTTCAATAAGAAGCGTTCAGTCGTGCCTGGATTCGCTGACTGCTCTCTGCTCGCCGTTACGATCGTCAGCCGCCGTCTCCTCAGCTGACAGCTGGGAAATGATCATAATTACACTCTTCTGTGTTTACAAAATATCCTGCGATTCACTCAATATGTTTATTTAGCAGCGCAGGAATAAAGGTCCACCTGCTACCAGGTGGAAGATTAAAACTATTTTACTGTTTTGTGCTTCATGGTGACTGATTGGTTTTTAATCAATAACTTGATTATTAATAATGCAGCAAAACATGATGTGCAAACTGTTGGTCAAAATTAGTTTTTTAAACATTTTTGAAGCAAACTTTTTGTGCTTTTATTTTATCTGCTCAATAATAAACAAAAAAATCTGAGATTTTTATTGGAATTAAATAAATTGTATTGTAGACCCACAGTTTCTAAATATTTTAGATTCTTGGGTATTGTAAAAAAAAAAAGTTATACGTTTTATTTTTTAAATTGCAAGACAAAAACATAAATTTTTCATGATGAAAGGAATAAATCTGCAATAAAAACATAATTCTCTAATATTCTAATATCTGAAAATAAAAGAAATTGAACAACTGAGATCTCACATCTTATAAATGTATGATGCAACATTTGTAATAATTTAAGAAACTTGTTTTTATTAGAAATTTAAAGTAAAACTTTTTGACATCATGGAATATCTACGTTTTTTTTTTTTTTTTTGAGATCAATCCGGAAATTTCTGAGGGTTTTTCTGAGGAAACTTTCACCAATAGTTATTTTGTCTTTTATATACAAAGGTCCTACTATTGCGTAGTTGGTTGTATTTAATAAAAACCTTAAAATCGTTTTATCGTAGCAGCATACATGACTTGAAGATTGTAATATTATAAATATAAAACAATGACACAAAGGTTAAATTTCTTTTTACCACTTTTCAAAATAGGAAATAAAAGAAAGCATGCTATGCAAGCAAGCAGATGCACTGCAAAAACACAAAATCTTACCAGATGTTTTCCTCTAGTTTCTATTGGAAATACCTTGCTACACGAAATAAGAGCATGTTTTAAGTAAATAGTTGCTTAAAACTATTAATCTTACCAAAATACTTAAGAGTTTGTTTTTGCAGTGTGTGTTGATATTTATGAGGAGCTGTCTGTGAAAACGCGCCCCCATGTAGTCGGGGCAATAATTGTATAAATGCATTTCTTGGCACCAGCTTGGCTGTTTTCTGAGCTTTTATATGAGAGGCTTGTTGTACTTTCTTGCTTTGGCCATCAGTTTGTCTCCCATCTCATTTTGCTTGTTAGATCCTCAGTGACTGCGGGTGGCTCTGCCACACAGCTCTGGGATCTGTGGCTGTGGGGTCGTCGGGTTTACTCAGGGACGGTCGGGGCAGCGGAGCCGTAAATTGGTGTGAGTGGAGGGTCAGGCTTACGGCTCACAAAGCCGACTGAGATCGTTGCAGATGAGGCCTAATTTCCAGATTCATTTATAAGCTGAACATTCACAAAATGCTTTGTTTGTACAAAAGCCAATATCTTAGTCAGAGAAGAGCTGCAGCTAAGGATCATTTTAGTTATTGATTATTCTGATGATTAGTTGAATGATCGGCTGAAAAATGTACATTCTGGGATAGAACCAGTGATTATTTTAGTAAGAGATTATTCCTTCAGTTATTCTGATTGATTATTTGGATAAAAACATTAATACATTTATATAATAATATTTTTAGTAATCGATTATTCTGACATCAATAAGCGGGAGAACTTAACGATTACTCAATTAGTTGACTGTTCATCACGATTAATCCGATTAATCGTTTCAGTCCTAATTCAAAGCTGATTCCAGTCTCTGTCTTACTCAGGAGTCGTCTTATAGGAATGTAAAACATGGTTTTTCTAGATACATTTTAGCCTGAAAAATGCTAATCTGTCTCTGCTTGAATTATTATTTATGAATGTGATTTTTCTCCACAGTGCTGGCTGACCTTCTGGAGAAAGTTGTGGTCCATTTATCCAGCTCTGCCTCCGGAAGCTTCTTCTCTCCGGTTCAGTACAAAGGTCAGAGAGGAACCAACTCGTTTTCTTTTGCTTGTTGTCAAATGAAAACCACTGAAGGCCTTTTGGTGCCATTTGTTACGTAACCAGTAAAGTAAAAGCTTTTGCGTAATTTGTCCCGCGATCTTAAAGATTGAAAAACTTGAAAATATACACAATCTAACACCAAACAATGCAGAAAATGCATGTTGTTTATGTTTGTTAGTATTATGCAGTGTCTGTAATGTTTTTTAGGATGGGAACATTCAAATATCTGAGCTGTAATAAAATGTAGCCTTGCAAAACTTTCAGCATGCCACAAACCTCCATCTACACACCATTATGGGGATGACAAAGTAGTGAATCACTGTGAAGTAGATGGAAAATGGTAAATAGTTTTTAAGTATTTTTTTAAACATTCAAGTCTGAAAAATGCGGCTCACATGGCTGAACGATTAATCGAATTAATCGTGATTAATCGATCATTGAAATAATTGACACTGTTGCAGTAACCAGTTCAACTAAAGGTAAATGCATGTATGAGTTTATGTAGATCGTGTTGGGACGTTATTTCTTTAAGTCTGGAGATGTTCTTCAGGTGATGGAAGGCCGACTTGGTAACTGTCTTTATGTGGCTCTGAAGGTTCAGGTCAAAGTTCATCACTACATCCAGATTCCAGACTTGATCTCCAGTTTCAAGCTGCGATAACTGAAGCTCTTTGCTGCCTCTAATGATTCTTGTTCCTTTTTTTATGTCTAAAAACAGTTTTGTTATATTCGCTGGGCAAAGTTGTGGCATCTCAACACACTTATTTGTTCTGCTCAGATATTTCTGAGTGGATTCATCATCACCTGGTGACATGTAGAGCTGCATATCATCTGCAGAACGAGATAATAACTTACCTGGTTATTCGTTATAATCTGAGATCATATAGATATGAAATAAGAGGGGCCCAAGATGCATCCTTGAGGAACCCCACATGTGTTTGTAATGAGGCAAAAGCTGGAAATATTAGAGAAGTACAAATACTTTTTTTATGGTCAACTTGACATCAGGAGTTTTTCCTCTGCTGTAAAAAAACCTCCCCGCAGTATCAGTGAAATAACCTAAAAGCCAGGAACTGATATGTTTTTCAGTGTCGTCTGAATGGGCTGTCCCTGCGGATTCACAGACATGGAGGGAAAAAATCCTTCACACTTTGAGAGCGTTTTCCTTCCGCAGGTCAAAATATGTTCGGTTTCACAAGTCTAACAAGCGAACTGTGTCAGCAGGTTGGCGTGTTTGGTAGCCAGAGGGCTAAACAAGCTTCTCCGACTGAGGCCAGACAGAAAGACACGAGGCTAATTAGTCAATACACAGAAAATGTTGGAGGCTGTAATTTTTCCTGAAGGTAAAGCGCTAAATGCTCACGTATTCGTCCTAATTAAAGTGTATTTTACTACATGTATTAAAAGTTTGCTGCAGTGTCCCGTCAGCTTCAGCTGGGAAACATTTGTCACTTTTCTGGAACAACATTATGTGTTAGAAATATTCAAAATAATATTAAACTAAAATAAACAGTAGTGTCAAGTTGGTAATTAAACTTTTCAAGCTTTTTGCAAAAGCGTTGGATACCATAAGATGGTTTTATTTACAAATTTCCATTTGATAATTACTGAGGTGTTTAGTAGCGCTGATTATGTTCTTGTGTTCACATTTTCTCTTGTCCTGCTGATTGTTTTGTTTTTAAAAACTTGTTTGAAATAAATTTAAAAAAATGAAATGAAATAATTTTGCAAAACTGCACAAATCCCAAAGTCATATTTTCAACATATTATTCATTCATTTAAAAATGTCACAGTTTGAAGCTGAATATTTACCTTAAGTTATAGGATAAATGTTTACAGGTACAGTAATTATATTGTTTAATATTATTTCACTCATTTCAAAAATGAAACTTATTTTCTAGACCCATTACACACGGAGGGGAATATTTCAAGCTTTTATTTCTTGTAATGTTGATGGTTTTGGCTTAAGAAAGTGAAAATCCAAGATTTTGTCTCAGAAAATACAATATTGCAAAAAAAAAAAAAACTCATGGTGATGCATTTTAATGAGCTTATTAATTTAAAACACAAAAGTCATTGCTAAAGAAGCTGAATAGTCAGAGTTCTGTATCAAAACGTATATTCATAGAAAGTTAAGTGGAAGGAAAAAATGTTGTTTGAATGAATCAACAATGATGTAAATATATTCCTAATACGATTAAATATAATCAAACTGTATAAAAAAAAAGAAATTTGAAGTTTTTATATTTTCTTTCTCATAACAGAAAAGGAATTTCATTATATAGATTAAAGAGGGAAGTATTTTAAGCCTGTATTTTTAATTTAGTTCACAGATAATAAAAATTCAGAATTCTGTGTCTGAAAATTAGCAGACTGTGAAAATGTAAAGGCATATGCCTAGAAAGTTAAGTGGAAGGAAAAAGTGTGGCAGAAAAAGAATTGAATTTTAGTGAATTAATGATGGTACAACTATTTAAATGGGTGTTATTCCTAATTAGACTAAATATAACCTATACAGCTAGCTAGTAATTAGCAGCTAACAGTTGTAAAAAAAGAAAAATGAACCACATTGTTGCCACGGTAACGATCTGAAAGTAATAGACCAGAGGAAATAACTATTCAAAAAAGCAACTTAAAAAAATCATGAACAAAATCTACAAATCTGAACTAATCCTGTATTTTAATTATTTAAAAAAATAAACTATCAATTCTTCGCTGCACTTCGAGTTTTCTTGGTCCGATTGCAGGGGGAAATCCACACAGTTTCCTCCAGCTCGGTCGTCTTCAAATTAATTTTAAGGGAGTTTATTGTTGTGCATAATGCATGAACACATTTTTCTCCAAGCCCTTAAATTCTGCAGGATTCATTATTTTCAATATTGGTTCCTTAATTTATCTGAAGAGCACAGAGAAAGTCTGGGGACGTCCTGCAGGTTGCTGATATTACTCTTCATGAGTTCTGCAGAGAACAACTGGAAATGTTTGTCGCAACTAATATAAGAGATGAAATCCCTGCAACACCTTTTATGGTGGCGCCTTTAAACAAAAGTTTAATATCTGTTATTGGGGTTATTACGAACGGTAAACTGGACTCTGGGGGCAACACGCTGAGCGGGGATGGAAACGACGAGAGGATTTATCTCCATTAGACCGTAATTGCCATCAGTGTGAGGTTCTCAGAGATGTTAATATGCGAGGAAGAAAAGAAAATATTCTCCAAATTAATGCCAGATTTGATAGCGTGTGATTAATGCTCTGCTTCCTGATGGAAACGGCGTCGAATGGTCGCTTTGAGATGTAAATTCCAGCCAACATTTTATGTTTTTATTGCTGTTTTTCCTCTGAAAAATTGGATTTGAGGTTTGCGCTGCTGTTGCTGTCGTCTGGATGATTGTTTTCCATATTAATTGCTAAATCTCCTCATCATCCGACTATAAACTGTCTGCAGATGATTCATTTGCGCTGATATTATTACATTTCCCAAAAGCCAGGATGTGGTTGTAACTTTTTTCCCCCTTTTATTGTCTGATTATTGAAGTTGCCAGACCATTAAACCCGAATTTCCAAAATCTAATATGTTTCAATGATTATACCTCTTAATAAGAACATTTTTGTTTTTACATGCAGACTCTGCAGGAGACTTTAGTGCTTGTTGTGTTGCTCTGTTAGAAACTATTATACCTGGGAAAAAGTCATCTTGTGATAAAAACGATTCATGTGGAGGAGAAATTAGTAATTTAATCTTTTCTCCTCGGCTCTGAACACGGAAACCTCAAAGTGCCGCTGTGAAATTACCCGATGCTACGCTACGTCGCTAACATCACAGCTAAGGCCGTTCAAAGTGCTTCACATTATAAAAACTGGGAGTTTCTGGGAGTTTGTTCCAGATTTGTGGTGCATAGAAGCTGAATGCTGTTTCTCCATGTTTGGTTCTGGTTCTGGGGAACCAGCAGACCTGAGAGGTTCTGGAAGGTTGATACGACAGCAGATCTTTAGCTGTTCAGTGATTTATAAACTAACAACGGTGTCTTAAAGTCCACTCTCTCAGTGTGGGGGCTTTAGAACTGGCGCTCTATCTGCCTGGTTTTAGTCAGAACCCGAGCAGTAGCGTTCTGGATCAGCTGCAGCTGGACGATTGATTTTTTATTTTTTATTTTTTTTGTGAGGGCACTGTTGCAGTAATCAATGCAACTAAAGATAAACACATGAATAAGCATCTCTAATACTGAGACAGTAGTCCTTTAATCCTGGTTCTTCAGCTGACAGAAGGCCGACTTTGCAACCGTCTTTATGTGACTCTGAAGGTTCAGGTCTGATCTCTGTTTTCCAGCTGAAGCTGTGCACCGACTCTACATCTCTTTAGGTACAGAAATAACTTCAGTTTTGTTTCTGTTCAGCTGGAGAAAGTTTTGTCACATCCACACATTTATCTGTCCAGTGATTGGCTGGTTCAGGGTCACCTGATGACATCATCATGTGGAGCTGAGCTGAGCCAACTCTGTCATTCATCATGGTCAACATGCTCCCTGCTACGAGGAAAAGTTTTCTTCTGAATATTCCTGTTGTACTCGGTGTGGCTCTCATTTGTATTTTAATTGTTTTGTTGTTGCAGCAGTGGAGAAAAACGTGAAAAATGTTGTGTTATCGTCTGTGGAGCAGCTGGGAATCCAAACATGCTTCAGGTACGTGAAATAAGATGTTTAATTATTGTAAGGAAACTGTTGGATCTTACTGAGTATTGAGCAGGGCTGAAGCGATTAATCGGGACTAATAAATAAATCATATAATCATCAAGATGTCGCTGCGTGGTTGACTTTTTCCTTCCACTCAACTTTCCTTGAGCACACTATAACTTTTTCATAGTATCCTAATTTTCTCAGACACTAATTTTCATAATCTGTAAATAATATTCAGCAGATTTACAATAAATATTTGTTGTTAAAAATACTTTACTGCATTTTTCTAAATATTTAAACAAATTTCATCCCCTTCCAGTTTTTGTCACATTTATAGTTGTTAAACTGTCGATTTGAATATCAGGGAGCAGTTTTTGTTTTCTTGTAGCCAATTCCTGACACCTATCTCATATTATTGAATGTTTTTCCCATTTTGAAGATAAATTACTGTTGATTTAGTCACACCGGTTGGAGATTCAAATGATTTAACGAAAGGAAACAATTCAACAAAATGTGTTTATTTTTCAGAACGTAGCAGGATTTATTGTGCTCTAAATGTATCACCATTATTAAACTGTGGAGTGGTTTTAAGGAGTCCTTCTGGGTGTTGCTCTGCCAGGTGACTGTTATACGATCTGGCATCAGGGATTATGGAGGCTGAAATGAAATGAAAGCTCTGAAAACTGTTGAGACTTTGCAGAAATTCAGTTTGATCTTTAGTCTTTTGGAGCAGTTGGGAAATAAAAATGCGATTCTGATGAAAAGCATCAGAACTTCACCAGAGGATTTCACTAGCGGTGTGGATGTGATGTTTGTGTTGCCAGGTATGGCTGCTACCTCCAGCTGCTACAGGAAGACGCAGAGAGCGACTTGGAGCTGCTGATGAAACACATGAAGAACTTCCTGTCGACACAGAGAGTGAAGACTTCATCGGCTCTTGGTATCCTTTAAAACTGCCTGTGTGCAAATTAACAATGTTCTAGGCTTTTCTAGAAAAAAAAAGTGTCTGTTGCCAGTTTGTTTAACCGCTTCGTTGAACAGGTTAGCATGGATCTGTGGTCTAAACAAAACATGATCGTTTCTTTCTTTTTACACAAAATCATTCTTGGATAACGAGATTTGAGCCGTTTTAGGGCATCTTGTCACTTTAAGTCCAAATAAGCTGCTGCTGGCCATGCCCCCAACGCAACGTTTACACTCACACATGAAAATGGCTGCAAAGTACACAATCGTACATCTTTTGAAAAGCAGAAGTGGAGCCTCCTGCATAACCAACAAGAATGCAAGAAAACACTTTGTGCAGCCCGTACAGTGGTAAAACCAGCTGACCAAATGTGCTGGAGCTCAGGTTGGGTTGCTAGGTAACGGGGCTTGCCTTCACTGTGGTTGCTAGGTAACGGGGCTTGCCTTCACTGTGGTTGCTAGGTAACGGTGAAGCCTTTGGAATGTGACTTAATAATCGGGAGATTTTTGAAACGGCTCATGAAACATGAACTTATTACAGAAAATAACAGCTTTGTTGGGTTTTTTTTGCGGTTGGACTGTTTTTAAAACCAGCTGAGACCCAAAGCGATGTACGAAAACTAAATTAAAACCTGAATTTAGCATTTTAGATCCCCTTAAATAGTTTCTTCCTTTTATTTTTTAGCCATTCTGATGGTTTGAGACACTTTTGATTCCTGAAAAATTAGGCTCATGGTTGATTCAATGAATTCGGCCCACATCATCACACCTCCACCACTGTGCTGGATGGCTGCTGAAATATCTCTACTCATCTGTTTAAAGAACATTAGTCCAAAAGTCTTCGGGTTCATTTAGATATATTTTTATGAACATCATCTGAGCTCCTTCATTCGAGAAGAAGAGTTTTTCACCTTCAACCCGTCCAAACAGACCGTCCCTGCTTAGTCTTTTCTTGCCATTATAGAATATGAACACCCTTGAACTAGACCATCCATTAACCAGGCTAACCTTGAAATCTCCATATTAAAGAACGATTTCTCCATCAGAAACCAGAGTCTGATGTTCCTGTGGTGCTGATGGTGCCACCGACCCCCCTGTCGACAGAGATGAGGTCAGCCTCTGTCTGATCAACACTTTATCTTCCTCCATCTGTGTCTCCAGGAGCTCAGCCTCCTTTTTGTCCCACATGACACCCGGTAGCCGCAGCTCTGCTCTGGTCTCCTTTACAAAATGGACAAAAGAAAACAGAATCCTGACAAGCAGGCAGAGCTGGTAGGAACCAGAGTTTATATTAGTTTCATTTTTATTTTGTTGACGTTTTATTTGTCTAATTCAGTTAGTTTTTAGAGTGTGTTTGTTAGTTTTTATTAGTTTAATATTGTTTAGTTTTTTCATACTTTGGTTAATTTTTAGGTTAAAGTATTATTATGTTTACATTGATTAGGTAATAAATACTCAATATTAGATTCTGTAAACATTGAACAACTGACTGTGTCGTAATTTGCTGACAAACTGCTTGTTGTTTTAAATTTCACATCAGTTCGGAAGACTATTAATTAGATTTGTAGACACGAAAATAACTTTATAATTTCTGAATGTTTTAGTTTTATAAACCCAATATTGTTAAAGTTAGTTATAGTTTTTCCCTGTTATTTTTATTTGTCCTGTTCAGGAAAATGTTCTCAATTTCAGTTTTTATTATTTTTAGTTGACTACAATAACTTTGGTAGTAACTGGTTATATTTACTCAGTTACATTTATTTGAGTAGCGTTTTAGAAAATAATTACTTTTAGGAGTATTCTTACTATAAGAAAATAAAAAAATGTTTCTTTTGTAATTATGTTATTTATATGAAGAATTTTCAGCTTGATTTATAAAACAAACATTTCCACATAACTTGATATTTGGTCTGTTTGATGCAGATTTTAAATATTTTTTAAACATTAATTGATTGCTCAATTACTCTGTACTTGAGTGACTCTTTTACTCTTATTTTATTTCTTGGACTTTTTACTTTTGGGTAAAATTTTTGGGAACTAATCCGTCTATAAAGTGAGAAGTACTAAAACACCAGGCTGAAAACTGAGCTTCTACTCATTTAAAAACCCTTAATATACATTTTTAATTTACTTTAAATATGTACTCACTCTGTGCTTTTAGCATTTTTGTGTTTTATGAATCAAAACAAAGCAACAGTTTTAAAATCTCCACAAACTTCAGCAGGAGTTTGAGATGAGGAAACAAAAAGTAACTCTGTAAATTAGTAGTAAAAAAGTAGTTTAATGAATTTTTCTCTGTTGCTGCCTGGCAGTAGATCAAAATGGGTTTTCTCCCCTCCGGGACGCTGCTTTATTTATGATTCCTTATTTAAAAATGATGTCTTGACAGAGTTCATTACAGATTTATAACGGTCGTCTGTCAATGAGATTCAAACAGCATTCATTTGTTGCAGGACTGGACCAACAAACGGCTGATTTCTGGTTAAATTCAGGCGTTTTCTCTTTAAACCAGAACCGTCGTTTGTTTGTTTTTGCAGAAAACAAATATTTCTCTTAGTTCATCAAAGAAAAGAATCGTTTCACCAGAGAGATTTTAATTAACAAGAGAAGGAAGTCGTATTTCTGCAGAAGTTATTAAAGTTTTCTCTTCAACTAGAAGTCAAAGCGCATTGCATGATGAACCATGCGCTAAATGAAATATATTCCATCCTATTAATTTAAAACAAAGCCACAGTGATTTTCTGTCAATTTAAAAAACAAAACCTGCATGTTAATAAATGCCAGATGCATAAAACATGAGGCACAGCTCTGAGTCATGGCGACTCTTCACATTTAAGCGACCAGAATCTGTCCTGCCATGTTTCTGACATTTTAACCAGCCATCAGAACAGATGGCGCTCTCAGCAGGCGCCGCATTCATGTAAATGTGCAGCTGGAAGAACCAATTTTAAGGAATTTCCTCAGTAAATATGAGACAATCGGATCATTGTTGTATAGAACTTCCTTGAGTTTTCGTTTTAGGAATGTAATTATAAATATAATTAAAATGCAGTGTATTAGTTTAGGGATTTGACATTTTTTAGCCCAATTTTGATGTTTGTAAACTAGTGTCCAAACATTTTGAATCGACAGGTTGAACGCGCTCGTTTCGTTTTTAAATTATGAGTGCAAAATATTTTTGGCAATTTTCTCTCCATTTTGCTAAAAACCAAAACCTTACCAAGTATTTTTGTCCAGTTTCTAGTGTAAATATCTCAGTTCACTTGTAATGAGACCAACTAACTTAAAATGACTTTTCATTGTAGAGGCTTGTTTTAAGTAAATAATGTCTCAATACTGGTGAAAAACTACTGTTTCAATTGGCAAATTATTTCACTTATAACATGGGAAAAATGTTTTATGATAAGTGAGATAATCTGCCAGTGGGACTCGTATTTTTTCATTAATATTAAGGAAATATTTATTTAAAACAAGCCTCTACATTTGCTGAAAAGTCACTTGTTTTATTAAGTCTACTTGGATATTTGCACTGGAAACTTTGTTTTTGCAGTGCACAAATTATTGTAGGACTTTTAAACGTTTTAATTTCTGAATTCAAATTGCTAATGTTCACAGTAATATTTTTTTAAAGTTTATTCTCTCAGTATATGTGGTAATATTTAAGTAAAGTTTATTTGTTTAGCACATTTCTGCAGTTTAAAATGTTGACAGCATAAAAACATCATACAGTCATTAAACTAAATATTACATTTTGTTATTTTATCCAGTTATTAAAAACTAAAGATACTTTTTCTGACAGGATTTTATCTTCAGCAGAACCAGTTTGGTAAAAGATAATTCTTGAATTTGACGTAACTTTAGACGGGACAAATCGGAGGTTCGGGTCGTTTCCTGAAGTTCAGCCGGACACTTTCATTATTTTCTACCAGCAGGTTCAAAATATCTAAACTGAAAATTGCAGATGTGATATTTAAATTTTGGGAAGTGTCTTTAGAACGCATTACGTGACGGCAAAAAAAAAAATATTTTTAATTAAACTAATTAATACTTTGCTCTCCTTATGGTGCGGGTGTATTTGTCAGCTTCCTGTTTGTGTTTTCCTGCTGTTTTAAAGATGCAGCCTTGATCATTTTGTTGGTTTTCCAGCCTTGACTTGGTTGTGCAGTGAGTCTGCAGGATGGCTATCCGGGCCACGATTGGCTGGCCTCCTCAGTTTTCCTCATCATGGCTGGAAACGTGGAGCGATCTTTGCGTCTGCTGCTCAACCTCTCCTGCCTGCTTTCGTCTGCGTTCATCTGGCCTGCAAGGATTCATGGATCTGTACGGAGAAACAACGATGCCTTTAATCTGAATTAATTATTTCAAACAAGCTGTAAAAACAAGTAACCAGCAGGACAAGAGAAAACATCTTTATACATAACCAGGAACAAATTACCCTACTTTTCTGTTTTAAGAAATAACAAGAAATCAACACTTATTTAACCCCACATTTTATCTGAATTTAATGAAACATACGACTTAAACTTGAAAAAAAGAAAAATGCAAGATGGTGGCCATTTTTTCAAGATGGCCACCATGGTTGTTATTGAAAAATCTTTTTTGCCCTAAAATCACCAATTAGGTGATTGTGTTTGGTGTCAAATCATAGCCTACATATTATTTAATATATTTTGTTGAGCTTGTTTTCTTTTTCTGGTGGACATTTTTCAAAATGGCCGCCATGGTTGAACTAGAGAATATACGTTTGCACTAAAATGGCAGTAGTTATTGCCAGTGGTGAGCAAAGCTAACCAAAAGGTTTGGTTCACTAACCAATTATTCAGTAAACAAGAATCTAAACCACTAAACTCATAAAGAAATTAGCGGAAGCTAACGCTAACCATTAGGGCTAACGATGTGAGACTCTCAAACTGGAAGTTTCCATTTTGATATTTAATTTTGGTACATTTTATTGCCTTAAAATCACATCATATGTGACGAATGAATCACGTCGCAATAATTGGTTTAAAAGGCTCAAAATGGCGGCCATCTTGAAAAATGGCCACCATCCTGAAATACAAGTTGCTTGCAATTTTTTTTGCTCATTTTCACACTTGAAAGATTCTAACAGCAACATATGGTGCATTATGCACACTGTAATATAGTTTTTACACCAACAAGTTGCTACAGGAAAAAAAAAATCACTTGATGACTTTCCTTTTGTTTTTTAACATGTTTATAGCAGAAAAGTGGCTGAAAGCTGTGAATGGAAAAATGAGAAAACAAATCAAATATTTAAAGGAAAATATTCCTCGGGGGAGTAATTACAGTAATTATACAGTTTTAAATAGTAGAGGAAAATCTGCTTTATCATTCCAACTTTGCTCCATCACCACTGTGGACACACAACAGTCTCTTTTCTTCTCAGTTTTTACAGAATGCTGGACTCTTTCTGTCATTAACAGGTTAAACTTGACAAATGAAGAGGAAAATGCATCAGAAAACATGAATGCACTACGTCTTTTCCTCCATATGTTCGTGTCGGTGCTGCAGTAAAACGTTTGTTTAATTTGCTTCTGCTGCGGCAGGTCCACGTCCCTCAGGAAGTAGCCGAATCGGGAATCTCTCCAGTCTACTGGTGCACGGCTCATTATGTGGAGATGCTGCTGAAAGCCGAAGTCCCTCTGGTCCATTCTGCCTTCAGGATGTCTGGCTTCACTCCTTCACAGGTAAAATCTGCAGATGATTTGATGGGACGACTCGCTTTGCTCCGGTTCTTAAATGGACGGTTGGTTGGTTTGCATAGAGATCACAAAGGAACGTTTATCCAGGTTTGATTTTATTGACATTTTATATTGTTTTTGTTGATATTTCAACTTTAATCTTAAAACAACTTCATTTTTTCTCTCAATTTGACTTTTTTCTCAAAAGTATTAAATAACTACAAAATTCATCCTGTTTTTTCACCGCCATGTTAAGTCCATCTCCTCAGTTTTTATTTATGTATTGATCTGGAAAATATTACAACTTGCGACTCTGATTGAAAATTGGATCACAAGCACCTTCATTTGTTAAATTTACATTTGGTTTAACAAAAATCTGTCAATGTTGATGCCTTCTAATTTTAGCATTTTGTCCTGTTGAATTAATTCAGATTCATGAAGGGCCTTAAGTCTTTAGCAGGAGAAACTGAAGGAGCTCCTATTTGTCATCTTCTGAGCTCAATCTCTTTATGCTTTTCTGACTTCATTAAAATTTAAAAGCTTTGACATTGAATCTTTTTGCTTTTTGAAATAGTAAAATAGCTTAAAAAGTCGGACCTCTTTTCATCTTTGCTTGGGCTTCATGGTAACGATGCAGAAAAAGCTTTTCTCACCTTGAACGTTTTTCTGTTTTGATCCTGTTTTTGGCGTCTCGCTTCGTCTCATGCTCAGCAGGATGGCCGTCAATAAGACTCTTCACATTCGCATCAGAGATCTGAACGTCTCTGGGCTGACGGATATGTTAACCTCCACATGTTCTCGTCGCTGGTTAGACGATAATGGGCAGAGCTATTCAGGCTTTTATTGGAAGTTGTGGCTCAGAAATGATGCATCTTAACGCTCTGGTGTTCATTCAGGAGGTCGTGTGCTTGCAGGCAGGTTTTCAGTCACACCGGATCTTTGAAGCATTATTCTCTCTTTCATTTCAGATTAACATGTTCGCGCTCAGGGTGTAGAAACTATCGGTACATTTTACATGACAATATAAGTTTAGTTTATTTCCTCATATTGATAACTACTTGTTTGAAAAAGAAGTAGGTAGAAGTGTAAACTTACTTAATCCAGCCACTTTTCTTTTATGTGACTTACTTTTCACACATTTTTCTTTATTTTGAAAAAAGTGCTGCAGCTAACCATTATGTTAGTGATCGATTAATCGATTACTGTGACGATTAATCGGTTTAAAAATGGCACATTTTGCATCTATTTCATCTACCTTTTTTATACATATTAGAATTACATCAAAGAAATGCAAATGAATAGTTAAATTTCTTTTTTAAATAAGAAAATTTACATTTTATTGCCTGAGATGTAATAACAGCATTCCTTTAGTGAACACTGCTCGTAGCAAAGGATGCGTCTGCAGCGAAAACATACATCTAACATCAATAGGACTGATATGTTGATTTATTGATTAACTGGGTAGTAAAAGGTTTATTTATTCATTTTGTTTTTCAGAATTTGAACCAGTTTGGAGTAAAAAACCTACAGAGAGAAGTTTTATCTTAAATGCATGTTTTCAACTTTTGTACAGTTTTGACTTTATTACTGCTCTGACTGCGTTGTTCTTTCAGCAAATGGCTCTTTTAGAGTTTGTACCCTTCAGTTAATGATGAATCGATTATGTAAGTAATTGATTAATCATGATTAATCGTTAGTATCTCCTGTTGTAAGTGGATATTGTGTAGCGCTGACTAGCGCAGGCTGCCTTTCCCTTCCTGCTGTGAGGTGAAGCTTCGGCTGCACAGCCTCCTCCCGGTGGGGTGACTGAACCCTGCGGTGCAGAAACACTGTTGGTTCTGCTTGGATTGAACCCCCTCATGGGCCGGGAGTCCCTGTTGAACCACTGGGTTGTTAAAGGCTCCTGTGGTTCTTATTAGAGGTTTCAGCAGATAAACATGTCGGAGCTCTGTGTAGTACACTTCACACATTTTCTCTCTTTTTCTGGGATGGAACAAAAATTATTCTGTGGGCAGTTTGTGGTGTTAACCACCTAGAGGCCTGAAATTCAATCAAGTTGCTCAGAGAGCCCTCTAGAGGCTCCTTCAATTTGCAAGTCTAAAACCAAACATTTGTCAGAAGTGCAGTGTGGGATTTGCCACTGGCAAGTTCTCATGCCAAAAGTCTCCAAGCAAATTGAGACTGAATTGGGTTGTTTCAAGTGATCTGCCCCATTTCGCTGCTAAATCAGCCCATATAAACGGTTTTCTGTTGGTAGGGCTGAAATGATTAATCGTTGATCAGAGTATATCTTGACAGAATGTCCCTTCATCCCAACAGAGGCTACACCATTATTTTTGTTTTTACAGCTGAAACAAGAGAAATCATAAAAATGTTAGCAGATTTGTGTTTTACCTACTTAATATATTTGCTTTTAGGGATGAAACGATTAATTATGATGAAATGATTAATCATTAACTGGAATATACAGACTTAAAAAACTACCATTTGATGAAAGAACAGCAAATAAGCTAAAACTTTTTTAAAAAAGGGAACAGATATGAAAACACAAGAGCAGCCGGTCAGCATCTAACGATTAATCGATTAAAATATTGTCATTCTGTAAAATTTTCATTAAATCCGTTAAGCCGTTTTACACGATAACGGAAATATGTTAAAGATGCTTAAAAAATTAATTTAATTCCTTTTTTAAATGAGCATTTAATTGCCTAAAATCCAGTAACGGCATCTGCAGATAAAAATGCTTCTAAGTTCAACGCAGTGCAGAGTTGATCTGTTTTTTCATATTAAATGTAAAATTTATGCAGCTTTAGCTTAATTGCTGCACTGAGGATGTTGTTAGCAATTGGCATTTATTGGAGTCTGTATACTCTAGTTAATCAATTCAGCCCCAAACGCAAGCAGAACAAAAATGTTAGCATATTTTTAGTGATTTCTTTCTCGTTTCAAAAGGGAGTTGAGACAAAAATAATGGTGTACCATTGCTTTAATTTTTAAAGTAAAGGATATTCATTTCCTGGAACAATGTAAAAACAGTCGACTTGATGCTAAATTTAGTGTTTTTATTAATCGACAGGTGTGCCTCCACTGGCTCACTCAGTGTTTCTGGAATTATCTGGACTGGACCGAGATCTGCCAGTACATCTGCACCTGTGTGGTGATGGGTCCAGATTACCAGGTCTACCTGTGTGTGGCTGTTTTCAAACACCTGCAGCCTGAGATCCTGGAGCGCACGCAGTCCCAAGAGCTGCAGATCTTCCTCAAGGTAAACCTGGAGTTCAGAGGTATTTGGTTCTCTGCAGATTTCCACACTTAGAACATGGAGATCTGCAGTTTTCATCAAAGGTACCTCAGCTGAAAGACAGTCTGACAAACAATGTAGGATTTTTGAGTAATTTTCATTTTATTTCATGAAATAAGTACTTGTTACTGCATCAGCATGGATTTTGGCCCATTCCTCCTTACAGCTCCTGCAGGTTTCAGGGCTGTTGCTAGGCAACAGAAGTTTAGCTCTTTCTCCAAAGGTTTTCGGTTGGGTTCAGGTCTGGAGGCTGGCTGGTCCATTGGCTGCATTCACACAGCAGGCAAATACGACCAACAGCAACCATGTTTTCACTGCAGTCAGATCATCATGCAGCATTTCGTCCCACTTCGCTCACTCACGTGAGAAATGCCTTGTAAATCCGGACGTCTGAAAATTATCATGATTATGAACAAAGTCTGTCAGGGCATATTGGAATTACGAAAATAAATTTACTTAATAGAAATAGAAACACGCAAATTATGAAACAAGAATTCAAGTTTTTCAATACAAATGTTTCTGTGCAAAGATGATCGTTTGGAGTCACTGTCATGCTGGCAGATCCAACAACTTATCCCCAAGGGAAGTCAATTTTCACAAATAAAGGCTGTGCTATAAAATACATGACATCACCATTAAAATAATTTTCCCACCCAACTTTACACTCAAAAAGACTTAAGTCAGTATTTAAACAGGAGTACAACTTAATTATCTTCTAAGATAATTAATGCTAGACTTTTCTCTGTGTAGCATTGATCTTGGTTATTCAAAGTTTTCTGCTGCTAATGATTTGTCCTCAGTTTTATCTTTCCTCACTGATATTTATGAATAAAGATAATCAGCTGTTGCTGCATCTCCAACTGTTGGCAACACAGAGCTGATGAACGAACTCGACGGTTTTATCCAGACTTGTTCTGATTAAGGTGAGCTCTGACATGAAGCCATCAGTAGCCATCAGACACAAGCTGCCACGGACCATCTCTGTGAATAAAACATCAGATTTTATCTGAGGAAGTTCATCTAATGAGCTGCAGAAACAGAAAAAGGGAAACTTCCACATCCTCTGTCCTGAGTTGAACTGAGAAAGTTTTTGTCATGCCTCTTTGCATCCAATCTTCCTGCTGTCTGTCTCTGTGGGAATAATGTGAAGTGAGTATTTTACCCAGACAGATGTGGTTTTAGGACATTAAGGTGTTCTCTCATCCTGTCTCACTGGGGATATACATCTATATTTCATCTAAATTAAAATTTGAAAAGGGAAACGTCGAGTCCAGCTGGAGTTTAACTGCAGCAAAGCTAAGAGAGTTGGTTCTGTTTTCCACCGACCCACAGGCTACATGGAGCCGCCATCTTTTATTCATCTAAAAGCTGAATAAAATTAAGACTTTCCAGACGATATTTTATTTACAACAGAACATGGATAGTTTACAAAATGGCTGAAGAAGGAGTGAAAATATTTAACATCCAAGTTAATTTATGTCAGATCTATGAAAACTGATTTCACACACAATAGTCCAGTTGGTTTGATTGCAACATTTACTACATGAAACAGAGTGAAATCCAGTTCCCCTCCGCACCTGTGGGGGCGCTGCACCAAGAACGACTGAAGGAAACAACATGAAAACCTCTGAAAAACACACCAAAACTTCCTTCTTCATGAAATGTAAACCAAAATATAGTGGTGTCACATTTTAGCCAACAAGCTATTTTCCCTGCTAGTGCTAGACTATCGTTTTTGTTTGGGTTGTACTTACCCAGAACGCCTGGCGCTATAGTCCACTTCCTGCTTTTGGGCATTCACACCTCCCCAAACGAACCAGACTGACTAAACAGGGCTGGAGTGAAACCTTCCAGCGCTGTGAGCTTTGGTCCAGCATCTCTAACAGGGTTGGGAGGCACGAGTTCATACGTTATGGACAACGTGACGATAAACACAAAACGGATTTTTGATCTAGTTTCTAGTGCAAATATCTTGGTACACTTGAAATAAAACCAACTCATAAGTAACTTTTCAGAAAGATATGAGTTTGATTCAGCTCAATAATTCCTTAATATTCATGAAGTTCTAGTTCTACTCAGATTATTTCACTTATAACAAGATAATCTGCCAGAGGAACCAGAACTTCATGAATATTAAGGAATTATCTCTTACATCTCGCTGAAAAGTTACTTGTAAGTTTGTTTTGTCATGTTTAAAGTTTACTAAGACATTTGCAGTAGAAACTAGACCTAAATTACTAGGTAAAATTTGTGTTTTTGCAGTGAAGTTTCTCAATAAAAACATGTAATGAATAAAATATTAATTCATATGATCTGAAAGTCTTCATTTTACTCAACTTTGTAACATTTTGATAAACCAACTCAAACTGTCAAGTTAAAGTAATTTGATTTTTATATATTAATATCCGACGGCGTGTTAGAGCCATCGCTACTAAAAAAATTCCAGAAAACTTCTGAAATTAATCTAAATAATTTTGACAGAACTTTACTCCGTATTAGTAAGATTTGCAGTTATAAAATTTTAAATGGTGGAAAAAATCATCACTGTACGACACAAGCTAACCTGTGGATTATAATCTGTTATTTTTCCAGCATATTTCAGCCAAAAAGCTTCATAAATTAAACTTTTAAACACAGATGGAACAGAAAAACACCATCAGTTCTGATGCTCCACCTGAATCTCCTCTGCAGCTCCTCCCCAAAACCCAAACAGCACAAAAAGACACTTTATAACTAATATATTAAAAATGTTTAGTTTTATCTTAAGCAAAAGCTTTAGGGGATTTGTTCAACCCCACACTTTATATTTATCATATTAGTAAAATTAATTATACAACAAAAGTTTAAACAGCTAAACAAAATTTAAATTACAAGAATTTTATCCATGTTTAAATCCTTTCAGTCTCAAAATTATTTAATCTGAAAATATTAATTTGCAACCAGTGAGGGAATTTATGAAGTCTGAACAAAATAAAGCAGCTCAATTAAAGGTTTAATATTAAGACTTTAGTTGTTAAATGTGTTGTTTTGTGTTTATTTGAATATTTCATGTTTCATTTTGTTTCAAGATGCAGTTTTACAATGAGATAAAAATAATCTACAATGCCTTTTGTTGTTTTTGCTAATTGGCTAAAATAAATGTTACTTGACATCAAATTTATTTTACCTTTCTGTTTTTAATAAGATATTTATTTCATTAATTTAACTGTAAGCTTCTGTCGGCGTCAATATTTTAATTAATTTCTTCAGTTTTAGCATAACTCATTCATCATGTGCCGTCAACTTTAAGATCAAAGGAATCCCCAGCAATTAGCTCGTTAATTAGCCTAGCTAACGATCTCCTAAATGCTAATGTTCAACATATTGTGAAGCTCTACGGGACGTTAAGCAGCTCCTGCCACCGTTCAGGAGGGAAACCTTCATAATGCTGGGAAAAAAGTTATTCCTTTTCCATTTGTCACAGTTTAGTGTTTCAGAACGTCAAACCAACTTAAACATTAGTCAGAGATGAGAAAACAAAGATTTAAATGGTTCATTATTGAAAACAAAGAAGACTACGTGAATATAGCTTTAAACAGTAAACATTTTCAAAACTACTTCTGAAAATCCCAAACTTCCTCACGAGAATATAAAACCGAACAGCTGGTTTCTGTTTTGTGAGATTAAATTAGCGTCAATGTGACCCTAATATAAAATATTTAAATGTTTATTGGCTAGACTTAATTTAATATCAATCACACGTTTTCAACTGAAATGTGAGACACGTCCACACCGTTTTATACACTGTAAAAATTTCTAGTGCAAATGAACTTAAAATAAGGCAAAACTAACTTACAAGTGATTTTTCGGTAAGATATTTGAGTTTGTTTTAAGCAAATAATTTTTCAATATTCATAAACAGAAAACTAATTCCACCGGCAGCTAAAACAAGCTCCTGTTTCTTACTGAAAAATTACTTGTAAGTTAATTTTGTCTTAGCTAACGATCTCCTAAATGCTAATGTTCAACATATTGTGAAGATCTACAGGACGTTACGCAGCTCCTGCCACCATGTAGTAAAATATTTCCACTAAAAACTAGATGAAAAATACTTTTTTGTGTGTTTTGCAGTGTTGACCAGGAAATGAAAGAAACTCAACATGTTTCTTACGTTACACTGCAAAAACACAAAATTTTACAAAGTAGTTTTGTCTAGTTTTTAAAGCAAATATCTTAGCAGACATGGAATAAAACAACTTACAAGTGACTTTTCAGTAAGAAATATGAGCTTATTTCAAGCCAATAGTTCTAGTTCACTAGCAGATTATTTCACTTAAGAAAATAATTTTTTCCCATAAGTGAAGTAATCTGCCAGTAGAACTAGTACATCAATATTGAGGAATTATTGATTTAAAATAATCACATTTCTTACTGAAAAGTTTGTTTTATTTCAAGTGCACTAAAATATTACTAGAAACTAGATCAAAATTACTTGGTAAGATTTTGTGTTTTTGCAGTGTACGACTTCCAGGCTGCTAATAAATTAAACATAAAGGCTTGTTGTTCACATTTTCATCTCTGGTGAAGTTCTGTTTGTTTTAGCTGAGCTTCAGTGAAGCTCTGGTGCTGAAGGTGTTGTCTTTCAGAAAATCCTCCATCAAAGTGGAAAATAAATTGCGCCTCCCTTTCTAACCTCATTACTGGCTGCGTTCGCTGAAGGCCACAGGACGGATAACGAGTGAGGGCAGAGTCACGCTGGGCGCCTCGTTCTGACTGCCAAGTGTCCTCAGGGTCCGGCTGATAATTGACGAAGCCACTCAAACCTCTGCAGCTCGGCGGCGACACTCATCTGCTCTGCCTGAGTGTCTGCATTGCCCACAAGGCCGAGGGTTGCCATGACAGACGCAGACTTGGACCCGAGCAACAGCCATGCAGCGGAAATAAAACCCTGTAGCGCTGTAGATGTTTCTACATATTAAGGTTTTCAATAGGTGTCTTTTATATTTTCTTATCAAATGTTAAGAGTTTTAATAAGATTTTTTTTCTTTAAAACTTTTCCTAAGATTTCTGGCTGTATTGACCACACTGCAAAAACATTCAGTCCTTAGTATTTTTCGCCTGGTTTCTGTTATAAACATCTTGGCACACTTGAAATAAGACAAAACTAATTTAGAAGTAATTTTTCAGCTGCAGGACTTGATTTAGGTCAACAATTTATTCAACTTCCAACCTTTTTCCAAACAACTGCTGCCTGAACAATATGACTGAAAAAAAAAAATCAAGATATAAGCATTTCATATCAGTCAATATCAATGATTGATTAATTTTTTTGTTTAAATATCTGAAATGCTGCCAAACCGATGGTGCCACCTTCCCTGTTTTAGCCACAGTTTTTATTCCACAATGTTTTTTTTTAAGCAGTTATGAAGCACAGAGGCAAAACTTTAAACTACTACTGCGCAAGTTACTCAACAGGTTGTTGCTAGGTAACCAAGGAACAAGTGAGTGAGTTGTTACTAGGTAACCAAGGAACAAGTGAGTGAGTTGTTGCTAGGTAACCAAGGAACAAGTGAGTGAGTTGTTACTAGGTAACCAAGGAACGATCGAGTTAGTCGTTTCCAATCACTTTGCTTAACTTTCGGTGAGAGGTTGAGCAGCTAAAGTCTTTCCTCTGCCTACATTCCCCAGAATGCTGTGCGGTTCTGGGTCGGAGTTCAGTGATTATTCTATATAATAAATATTCTAGCAGATGTATTACATATTATCGATTTGTTGTCCAGCCCTGGTTGTTCCTTTGATTTGGTGTCAAGCAGTGAAAGATTTCCCCTTCGTTCTCCAAATGAAACAGTTAAAAGCTCAGTTTACTCTGTAATGAGCTCTTAAGCTGATCTATAAAGTATATAGAGCACATTTTACATTTATAGCTCAGGCACTTAGAAGCTGAAACACGCCGATTATAATTTATGATACGTTACAACAAATGACCCTCCTCTCCATCCATCTCCTCTTTAATTTTAAACATCTTAACAAAAAAAATGTTATTTCCCATCTTTAGGAGGAGCCGATTAAAGGGTTTGAGTTCAGCAGCTACCTGGAGTTCATGATGGGACTGCAGCGCAGCTACCGGGACGTCGTCCTGACCGACATGGAAAGCATCAGAAACCCTCCAGAGTAAAACTTTCTCTCACTTTCTGGTCGCTAAGTTGGAGATATTCTACAATATCTGAGCATAATGCAGTAATTTGAGCGTAGATGTGTGAAATATTTATGTGTAACTGTGTTTTCTGCCCGGTGAATAAAGCTGTGCAGAATAATCTGAAAGAACAAACAGAATAACCGCAGTAACATTATGCAAGATCCCAATAATCAGCTTCAATCCTCACCCTGAAAATAAGCTTCTCTCCCAGATTACATCTGTAAAAATGTGTATATAATGAGTATTGTACGTAAAAATTGGTGTTTGTTTATTCCTGTTGTGTAAATATTAATTCCTGTGAGTTTTTGTATGAGGATCTTCTGATGTATTAAAATAAGGTTTTCAATACATGTTGGGGTTTTTCCTTTGAACTCCTGCTTTGTAGTTTAAACACATAAACATAAAACAGAAGAGAAAACAGTCTCTGGTTTTACATCATCTAAGAAAAAAAAACAAAACAAGCTTTGATCTTACAGACAGGAAAATATTTCATATTTTTGTTTGACCATCGGCGTATTTAAAATTCAACAAACCCAGGAAATCAGGTTTAAATACTGTTTACACTGTAAAAACACGTCTTAGCAAGTATAGTTGGTCTAGTTTCTAGTGTAAATATATTAGTACACACTGAATAAGAAAAAATATTTACAAGCAACATGTAAGAAATGGTTTTAAGTCAATAATGGAACTAGAATTTTTCTTATCAATACTAAGAAATTATTGATTTAAAACAGTTTCCTGTGCCTTGCTTTAAAAGTTATCGGTAAGTTATTAGTTTGTCATTTCATTTGTACCAATAATTTCCACTACAAACGTAACCAGAGATACTTGGTAGGATTTTGGGTTTTTGCAGTGTAAAAATAAAGACTCTGCAAAAACAGTTTCTCTTGCAAATATATTAAGACAAAACTAACTTGGAGATAGAGGATCAATAATTCCTTAATGAGGAAATTTTATTTCACTCATAAAAGTAAATAATTTCTTAATATTCATAAATAAAGTACTAGCTCCATTGCCAGATTTGTTTCCAATTATAACATTTTTCTAATGTCATGAGTGAAATCTTAAGACTTTTTTAAATCAATATAAGGAATTATTGTCTCCTATTTCATACTGAAAAGTTACTTCTAAGTTATTTTTGTCTTATTTCAAGTGTAGGAAGAGAAACTAGACCAAAACTACTTGGTTAGATTTAGTTTTTTCTGCATTGTAAACAGTTTTCTCATGTTAAACTGTTATAAACACCAAGACGAATCTTTAACCCTTTACAAGGCATCCATATTGTTTTAGCATATAAGAACACAACCCTTTTTATCGACTTTTTGTACATTTAATATTTAAAATTGGACTTTTCCTGCTTTATTTCTGTTGAATTATGCCAGATAGCGCATTTCTGATTCGTAGCCGACTAGCTGGACGCCGGCGTTGGTTATTTTACGCATCATTAACGGCAGGTTACGGCACTCAGTCCTTCCTGTTGCTGGTCGTTGCATGAAAGATGCATGAGTTGCATTATTAGGCCTCATTAGCAACCAGAGGCTCGTCTCTGCTGCAGTCCTGTTGTCCTTCTGACGCCTGAATAATAAACAAATTGATCACATCCGTCCGTCTCTGCTACAGGAACCCATCAAATGTTTACCTGGTAAAAAACGCCTTCGCCTCTGAAGGTTAACATTTGGGCTGAACCTTGATGCTTCTCTAATCAATCAGCCGGCTGTTTGAGGACAGGAAGCACTGGCAGGTTAAACACCACAAACCACTTCTGACATTTTAGTCTTCTGGAGGCAGAGCAGACGATCTGCTGTTAATTTGGTTGGGAGGTCTGCAAATGCTAATTTTACAGTTTTATGAACCGAAAAACATGCTGCAGTTTTTAAGAGAAAAATTACTCAGACTTTAATTTGTTTTTCATTTTTAGAGTTTAAGCAGCTTGTTAAAATTCCTGTTTTACACAAGTTAAAAATGAGACAAACCCCAGAAACATTGCCTCCAAGTCCAACAAAAGTAACATCCAAGTCCCTAGAACGTCGCCGCCAACCTCCAGAGAAATATCCTCCAAAAATGTCTAACAACTTCCACAAGGGAGCCTGAAAGTCTTGTAAAAAGTAACTCAAGTCCCACAAAGGTAACACCCAAGTCCCTAAAATTTAGCCTCCGAGTCCCTGAAAGGGAGCCGCCAAGTCTCAGACTACTAGGCTCCAAGTCTCACAAGGTAACCTTCAAATCCCTAAAAAACATCCAGCAAGTAGCATCTAACCTGTGGATATGTAACCTCCAAGTCCCAGAAAATTAAACTCCATTTTCTGGGAAAAGTAACCTCCAAGTCCCTAAAATTTAGCCTCCAAGTCCCAGAAAAGTCCAACAAAGATGACCAGAAACACAGACCCCTAGTGCTGGAAAAGCAGCTTCCGAGTCCCAGAAAAGTAACATGCAAGTACCTAAAGAATCCTCCAAGACTCTGAAACATGGTCCTCGAGTCCGAGGAAAAGTGACCTACAAGTCCCACAAAATTTGCTTCCAACATCTCAAAAAGTCTCTGAAAAATCCCCTCCAAGTTCCGGTAAATCAGTTTGAGATCTTAATTTGTTTCTTCTCAAGCTTTTTCTACAAAATTAAAAACTACGATGGGAAAATTTATGTTTTTGAAAACCTTTTGTCAGGTTTAGTTTATTTCTACAGGATCAAGGAAGTTCAAAGTATTATAATGAAAAAAAATTACATTACAGTTGCAAAATAAAAAATTAGACTAAAATTAATCAATTTTCTAGGTGTTATTAATCAAAGGCTGCGCGAAACAAATGGGTTTTTAAGTCGAGTTTGGGATCTTGCATTGATGAATTGTTGAAAAAAATAAATCAGTATTATATTCAGCTATGGAAAATTCAGACTAAGCTCTTTGTTCCCCACTGAATAAAATCCATCACTGTTTAAAAAGCAATGAGATATCTGTGCATTTATTTATTCGGCTGCAATCAAAAATAATTATACTTCAATACAGGATTATGGGAAAAAGCAGAGATGATAATTAATATAATCAAGAAGTAATTTTATTATTAATCAACCCCAGACCTATTCTGTAATAATTCCACTAATTAAAACAATGGAAAACAAAGAAAGGCTGATTACTCTACAAACTGCTACCTAAAGGCTAAAAGTTGTAATTTAGTGAATAAAATGTTTGTGTTGAACTTTCAGTTCTCATAAAACCTTTACAAATCATTTAGAGCTCCTTTTTAAACCTCATTAAACTCCAGATCCATGATTTAAACACAAAGTTCTCCAATTATATCACAAATTATAGTTAAGAAGTCACATTCACCGTGTCTTTCATATTTTTGACACCATGAGAAGCAGAACTTTATGTTTGACTCAAACCTCCGGTCACTAGGTGGCAGCGGTGTTCAAATTAATAACAGGCTGCCAGTTTATCAGACACACACGAAGATGTTTTAAAACATTTCTATTTCAGAGGACAAACCTTTAGTCACTACAGACAGAAATAAAAAAGAAAATTTTAACCAAAAAAAAAATTATGAGAAATTTTCTAGAAAAAAAGTGGAAATTTCTAAGTTTCAAAAGTCAAAAAAATTTTAACTTTTGAAATGTTTTCTGAAATATTCCTGAGACTAAGGTCAAATTTGTTCTATTTACAACAGAGCTAATACGCGGCCGTAGATGCTGAAGTAAAAAAAAAAACCTCATTCATTTCATGGTCTTAACTTGTTCCATAATGTATTGATAAAACAGCAAACTGTTAAAATACCAATAAGTAGCAGCTTACATAGTAAATAATTACTTAAAATTAAATATTTAACATCTTTCACATCAACTAGAACTTCCAAGATTTTGCAATTGTTTTCTGATTTTTTTAAAATTAAAATCACAGATTTTCTGGTTCCAACTATAAATATTTGCAAGGAATTTTAAAATATTTGTGCTCATGCAATTAAAGACTATAATAACTTGACATCAAGTAATAATGAGGCATGACTCTAGTAGAAGTAGGAAATACTGCCACCTGCAGGTGGGTTAAACTTAAAACTGAAAATTTTTGAGGAAAATATGATGTAATTTAGCAGAATGCAGATAGAAAATGCTTTGATTTATTGATAAAATAATATTTAACTCCTCCGTTATCTTGAAGTTTCTTCCTCTGGAGTCTAAGGGGCCCCATCAGGAGCTGTGGCGGACCAGATTTGGCCCCCGGGCCTCCTGTTTGACGCGCGTTTTAAAGCAGATTCTGTTTGCAGAAGGTCGAATCTGATGTGTTTGTGTTTACATGAAGCCATCTCAAAGCTCTGAAAACTGGAGACATTAACATCACAAGCTGAGAAAACAAATCAAATTGGGCTTTTCTGAGTTTTATTTTGCGGGTATTAAATGAGACAGTTGCTAAATTATGTGAATGCTTCCGACAGAACAGCCGACTTCCAGCTCGTTTAGGTTGGTCTGATCATTGTTTGGCTTTGCTCAGGCCTTTATTTCAGCCATCTGCTGCTGCAGTTTGTTCCAGTTTTCAGAGCTACAGCATGAAGATACAAGAAGAGAGAATGAGTGTCTGTGTCAGAGCTGAAGGGACTGTGATGCAGGCCGTATTAGGCGCGTCTGTCAGCGTTTTCATCAGCTGAATCCATGCGGACGCCGTTTTGTTGCATGGAGAGTAAAAAGAAGCGAGCGGAGCTGCAGCCTGTCAGAGTCTGAGGGTTTTCCCTGCTTTAGGAGAATGTAAAGGCTTGACTTTGCTAATAGGAATTGATGTTTTGTAGCTGCTGGATGAATGGCACTTCTGGCTCACTTTGCAGTTCTCCAAACAAACCGTGGAAACTTTTGTGGAGTTAGGGGACGTCTGACCTCATTTCTGTAACATTTGGACACGCCTGGCAGTGAAGCAGCAGCACGAGCTCAGGGGACGACTAACCTTTTTATTTTACCAGAAGACAAAGAGAAGGAGGTTTTATCAAGCAGAGACATCTTGATCATGAAAAACCAAAATAACTTTTCATCATGCGTCACAGCAGTCTGAAAGGTTTTTCTTTGAACAGGTTAGGATAAATTTATGACACATTCAAAACATTTTCAATACAGTTTTTGCACAAAATCAATTTTAGATAATGAGGTTTTAGTTTCGAGCTGTTTTAGGGACTGTCGCTTTAAATCCAAATGTTTACACTCACACATGAAGTTGACTGCAAACAGATGCTGAATTAGACTAGCGTGCATCTTTGGAAAGCAGAAGTGGATCCTCCTGCACAACCAACAAGACTGCACACTGCAAAAACTAAATATTGCCAAGTATTTTTTTGTCTGATTTCTAGTGCAAATATCTTAATAGACTCGAAATAAGACAAAA